TCTTAGTCGCGAAATGATCACCGATGTCGCCCGTACTGCTTTGCGTACGAAGTTGAATGCGGATGTGGCTTATCATTTGACCGAGGTCGGTGGTATTTTATTAAGATCTGGGTTATAACAAATGTAAGGTGGTATGGTAATGTTTTGTGCATCTGTTTGGTTCTCTGAAGTGTTGTTAAATAGATTGCCTGATCAAGACACTGTGAACCTGTGCCAAACGTGTATTTTGAACTCGATTTATTTAAGAAGCATGTTATATAGATTGCCTGATCAAGACACTGTGAACCTGTGCCAAACGTGTATTTTGAACTCAATTAAACTCAAGCATAGGATTTATATCTTTTTAAACACTGTGCGTTTCGCCGAATTTATCCGGCGAAACCAATATTTATTTGTATTCTTATATCGACCCGCGGAATCAAAGCTATCCCCTTGTGTAAACTAACCTTTTACATCGGCGTTATACCCGATGTGATTTAACATTTACATTTATTTTGTAAATACCGGTTCAATCATTAGTATTATCAATGAATTCTGCCCTTAATTGCTGTCACTATTCTATCCAACACATTTACTTTGGCGCTTGCATAAATTATTAGAACCAAACTTCCAATGGTGATCCATAAGACACCAAATCGCCTTCTGATTTGTTGCTAAACGGTTTTTCCAGCTGTACAAACTTAGTTAAAACGTTGACGTAACGTATTTTTGCATATCTTTTTATATCGTTTAGCAGGTAATGCCAGCCATTCGTACGATTATGCTTACGTAATAATTTAACACAATAAAGGATAAGGAACTTGTGAATAATCAAAAGCTTAACCTAAATGAGTAAAGATTGTGTTGAAAAGAATATGAAATATTGAGTACCAAAAATGCCCCAACACAGCGAAATGAAAATCAATGATATGAATAATTTGCAAAAATTGTACTGCTCATCAAAAAAATAATTTAAGCTACAGTACACTGAAGGATGATATACCACAGAAATAAGATTTTTATTGTTTGCTGTACATACAGTACGTTTTGATAGGTACAAAAAATTTGAAATCAGCTTCTTATGAACATTAAAATTACATAACTATTTCAGCGTAATCAACAGTAGCGGTGTAACAAATTCGTAACTAAAATAAGAAAAAAGTTCTTGGTCCTTTAAATACAACGCACTTTGGACATTTACTGAAAGTGCAATATACAGTAGTAAATACAGTACAACAAAAAAAACAACAGCAGCTCATTTACCATAAAGCAACATTGGTCATACTGTATGACAGAAATTTTGAGCAAGTCATGGGTGTTACATATGTATGCGTAGTCTATTTAATAAACGTTAAATTTATGAGGTTAATTTCTAAATGGTTGCAATCCAAAGATTGTTCGTCCATACAGCAACGCTGTGCATATGTTATCAGTACTTGACACACTAAGGCGAAAGAACGATGATCAAATTTTTCATTAAGATAAAACATTTTCCCCAGTAATTAAAGAGTAGAAACCACACAAAATGGAAACAGTTCACTTACAACAATATCTGCGCAGAGAAAGCATAGGAAAATTCTTGAGTTAAAAAAGAAAACTTGAAGTTACAACAGGAAATGCCTTGTTATTTTTTCAGTGGGTAAATATATACTCGCTAAGGACAGAAATCTTTGCAAGGGAGAACCATTGTACCAATGAAGTTCGTCACATTGTTCAAAATTGCATGCAAAAGAAGTTCGGCGGTACAGGTGTCATGGTAATGAGCTTATGCACTGCATTTAATTCATCGATACAGCCCACTGTTAGTGAAGATTATGATTTATAAACTGGGCAGAAAGAGGTGCATTATTCAACGTACCAAAAAACTAATACGTATTATACATATTAAATGTGATTCTGATGAGTTGACATCAAGCGGGAGAAAGGACAAATTTCTGTCAGACAATGTAAGACCGAAGAAAGCAAAATTTCAGAAACATATACGTATACAGAGATATTCAGTGATTAAAAAATTCCGTGTCATGTATTAGGTATCTAATTTAACGGCAGTTGTCCTGGCATGTCCTACGATCTAGAAGGAGAAACGCGGATGCTGATTATAAGTATTTTCGCGCCTTCGAATTCAGTACCCAGAGCTGCGGGAAATTTACACAGAACAGCCTTTAAATCCACAGATCAAGGTACAAAATTTTTTATCCTAATCAGAAGCTCAAGACACTCAACTTAAAGGCCGGATGACTTTGTACAGTCGTTAAGTGGCATTTATTACTACTGAAGTATAGCCTGACGAATGTGCATGACTATCGGAGGATTAAGAATAAGAAAACAAACCTCTCGAAACTGTTGTCTGCGCAAAGTGAAAGGAACACAGGTTTCAAAACTAGATGAAAGAATTCACTATGTACAGTTGATCCGGTTCTTAAAAACTGAATGAACGAACGATGGAAGACACATAAAATCTATGGCTAAATGTGTAACCGTTAGCATCGCTACCCAACTCATATCAAAGCAACACTTCCTTCTCGACAGCACCCGAAGTTGGCACTGGGGTGCAACAGTTCGCCAGTCAAGCACTTCTTAAATAAGGGGAGAGAGATCAAGTGTGCCTGCCCTGACTCCTCTGCTGTCAGTTCTGATCCGGAAATCGGAAGCTGAGGAATTTAGAGACACTATCGCGAAGTAACCGGCGCTGGAACACAAGTGATGAGAAACAAACGGCAGTAGAGTTCATGATGTCAATCAAAGATTGCATGTCCCACAGATCACCAAAACCACCTTAGTGCTTGTGATACAACGGACATAAACTGTCGAAGCTATAAAACGGAAAGATTCGATTTACGAAACACATGTAAACCGGATGAGAAAAATGCAACGATCTGGCGTAAGGCGAATATCTGGTCATTGATGCTTCAGCTTGACCTGAGGCCAGACGACTTCTGCTGTATCTTCTAGCTAATCTGCCAAGATACTTGTTTTCAAACTCTGTAGCAACGGCGGAGTTCCTAATGTATTCACTAGCACGAGAAAAATATTCTTATATAAACCTATATAAAACCATATGCCATATAGTACCGTGACCCAGCAGATTAGAATTCCGTAGACAGTACACACACAACGTGTGGAAAAACTACGCCTAAATTTATGTAACCACTATTTAACCTTGAATACTCATCAGGAAACTTAAAAGAACAGTTTTCGAATAGCTACAGATAGCGAAAACCTGTCGCCATAAATGATAATGTCATACGATGCGTGGGTTTGACTGAAAGATACTAAGATATGAAGTAAATTACATATACAAAGTAGGCCACAGCATGCCTTAGTATAACCATATTTGCGCAACTGCAGCGCATCGCCTAGTAAAGGTGCGTCCAACAAAGCAATTAGCCAGAAAATTTGCACTGCAACTTCAAGCCGGCGAATTAGAACTAAATAAATTTAGATCGCGAAACATCAAATAAAAAAGTACCACAAGGGTAATGACATTTTTCTCAAGGTCCAGTAATGCTAGATGTGTGTTTGATCGAAACGTCATGAATGAATGGGCGATCGAACAGACAACTGAATAAATAAATGAAACGAATTAGCCTCTGCGAATGGATCAAACACATGAACGAATGAACAACCACTAATGATCGAGCGTACACAATGTTCATAGGTTTTATTAGCATACCACAATTCAAAAACACGGATGATATTTACTGTTATCCCCAAAGTGAGACTGAAACTTCATCGGATAAAGTGAAAGATATTCTCGTATTGAACTTACTAAATTAAAAATTGGCGGGACATTTAATTAACTAATTAATTGAAAATCTAAAACATCGACAATTCACATTAACATCTTAAAGTCCTTTCAGATTATGGGTTCTAAAACGATGCTTATACCACCTTAGCATTAGAAGCGAAAAGGACCTTAGCAGTGACGATCCAACAAAGAGGCCTATAACTGTTCGTAGATGCATTTGCCCCTTCTGGAAGCCAGCTTCTTCATCTTAAGCAGCTAGAATCTAAATCCAAACGGTCAGCTCAGTCAGAAACAATGTTGGTAAATTTGGAAAGTCTAAAATTACCTCCAAGAAAATGCGCAACATTACAGTGAAGTAATAATATATAATCCAGCACAACAAAGAAACAAATATATCGGCTGATAAACCAGAACCTGCATTTTTGCATACGTCTCCTATATCATCTTCAGAATAACTCAAGTGTTTTTCTTCGGTTTTTGTCGTTTATAGTTGTCAGGCTTTATTCTGTAAGGCAAAAAAGAATATCAAGGTTGTGGTGAAAAAATATCATTCTTCAGATTTTCCTTTTCGTAAAGTAAAAAGTGCTAATACTCAATCTACAATACTCTCCAGCGGAATAGAACTATCAAATACTCAAGAACAGTACATACTGACTTCGCATATAACTAAACATGCAGGATCGAATATAGGATGTGCCGTATGTAACCGTAATCAGTTTTCATTAACAAGTACGTATAAAAGGTTCATAATATCAGGCGTAGTTACCTAAACGGATAATTGTTAGTGCGAAGGTTTAATCAGGATTGGCAGACGAAAATTTGGATGATGCCTTTTTTCTAAATCAATAAGATTCATCTTGTGTTCATTTTATTGCTGCACAAAAGATTGTAAGTACAGCTAGTGAGAGGTAATCGCAAACTGATGTGAACACCTATGCTATCATTAGAACGATGGAAAGCAGTTTCAGTCATGTTAGCATAGCTAATTTTATTTACGTCTCAGGGATATCAGGGCCTACTGCCGAGGTAAAGCATTCACATCAGAACTTTGTCATTTACTCATGTTGTAGCACAATCATAGCGGAGCATCATGCCTCCTGTAATTCACAAGTCAACAACCTGCTACTAGATTTTCGGCTAGTTTTATGGAAGTACCGGAATGTATTCCTTGCTGGAGAGAATTAAAATTAGTAAAAGAAAAGATGTACCTCACGGGATTTGAACTCAGCGCATCAGAAGTACAGAGTAAACTGCTGAAATGTTGCGGTAGTACGACTAGTTCAGGCAAATATCTGTGTAAAAATCTTTAAGAATGCTGATCATCTGTTAACAAAGTGTTGTTTTGTGAAGAAAAGAAATAACAGTGGCATGATTTTAGCATTTTGCACCATTCAAGCTTTAAAAAGCGTCTAATAGTAAAGAATGGAGCCCCACTCTCTGTAAAATCGATTGCCGTAACTACTGAAACTTTCGATCGTAATATATTAACGCGATGGGTATTCATTAAGTCGGCTGAAGAGCGTAGAGTCACATTATGTAAGGGAAGTTTCCTTAAATGTGATAAACTTAAATTTTAAGAGGCAAAGTGCAGCACAAACAATCCGGTTAGACAATTTAGGTAGAATCAATAAATAGATTGCACTTTAATACCTGCAGATCATACTGCTTCTCAGCAGTAATTTTTACTTCTTTTGCACAGAAATGCGGTATATTTATTGGACGTTAGTAAGTTAAAATAAAGCCTTTACGATGGTAAGTTATAGTTTTTAATCAAGGTATGTGCGGCACAGAAGTTTGCCGTTTTTAGCAGTTTTTTGTGAACAAGCACTGAGCTGCGTGCCATTTTAAACTTTAGGTCAGAATATCCCTAAATTGTATGTATATTCGGAAGTCACAAACAAATTTTTTGTTCGACTGTTTTGCTTGGTTATGTAACTTGGTTTATGTAACTTTATAAAACAGTCCATTGTGTAATTGGGACTAAATATTTCTTGCAGTTGTTTAATCCACCTCAAATAATGATATTTTTGTTTGTGTTCAAATTTGAATTGGCGTTCCCTCAATTTCAATGCCATAAGCCTTCCTGCGATTAAATCTCTGAAAAGCAGCTATTTGGAAAAAGAGAAATTGAAACTTGTCAAATGACACGGCAGTTACTATTTTGTGAGACCATAAGTTCATGTCGTTAACTGATTACGACTGTCATCACATTTCCTGTTTCCTTTTTCGCTATATAAATGATTCATGTGCACCTTGAAATCTGGTCTTGGAATAACCATTAATTATTTGACACACTCCGGCATATGAACAGATTATGACGCTTATGCATATGAAGAGCCCCAGCTGCTGAAACATGGTCCTTAATGAACGTGAGGTGGCCGTAGGGGACAAAACGATACAGGTGCTCAAATTACGTGCAGCCGTGACCTGCTTCCTTAAATGTCCTTCTCCCATTAGGCGATTATGAGCAAGGAGGGAGTGCAGTACAGCGGTCTTGAAAGAGTTATTCGTTGTATGACTACTTTATTTTGTTTTAAACCGAAAAGCTACGGAAAATTAAAGCCGAGGACTAAAAGGTTTTTGCTGACTCTAATAATGCCAATCTTATTTTTATGGTGATAGACATTTTTATTTTTTAAATTCAACTTTTGTTTTAAGGACGCCGTTAAATGTACTAGTAGAGTACATTATAGTTAAGTTGCAGAAATTCTGTTTTTTGTAGATTGTTTCATTTCGCTCATTCAGAGATTTTGTTTGTCGTTCGTTCATTCACTGATCTAGTTAACCACTCGTCCAGCCCGTTTTTCAGTTATGCACTCGGTCAGTCTATCGACATTTGTATCTGGAAGGTAATTGAATGTGTAAATGGTTGTCTGACTAAACGAATGACAATATTTAACTGATTGACTTCCTTTTCGTTCTTCAGTTCTTCACTTCCTTAAGTGAATCACTCATTCAGTCAACCAGCCACTGAGTGAAGTATCGTTTCAACACACAGCTATTGAATATTGAGTGCATTATATATGACGGATGTGTGAAACTTATAATCTGTACCTATATATAGATGTCTAACGACTACTATTTTTTTTAAATGGAGGTTTCGGCCTTTCCCAGAATTCAAATATTTGATGTAATGGAATCTTAGCTATGATTGCTGTACATAAGTTTGCCCTTGAAAATATTAAATTTTAAGCCGGGTGGTTTTTAGGCTGAACGAAAAGCAGTGAATAAATATTATCCGCCCGATTACGATCCAAAGAAGGGTGGTCTGAACAAATGGCAGGGAACTCACGCTCTGCGGGAGCGGGCGAGGAAGATTCATCTTGGAATCTTGATCATTCGCTTCGAGATGCCATTCAACGTTTGGTGCGAGGGTTGCAGCAACCACGTCGGCATGGGCGTTCGATACAACGCCGAAAAGAAAAAGGTCGGTATGTACTACACGACGCCGATCTACGAGTTTCGAATGAAGTGCCACTTGTGCCCAAATCACTTTGTCATCAGGACCGATCCAAAGGTAGAATTTACCGTTTTTCTGTTTATGTGATATACTTAAAGAGTTTTATCCAACTAAATTAATTTTTTGTGCAACTTATAATAACACCGTACCCCTTCATTATATGAGATAGCATCGGAATGAACTTTTATTTCGGCAGACGCAGGACTTAAGTATATGCTTAGCACTTAGCATTGCATAACGTTCCATTTTCTCCCACATCTACTTCGTTATGTACTGTGTCGTGTCAGCCACAGTTTGCATGACATTTCCAAAAATTATGGAACTGGAGAATTTGAGACCAGTGTCCGCTCTTTTAATCAAAGACAGCATTGCCACTGTCATGCATGCTTGTACGAACTGCATCGTATTCATAAAGATTTATGTCTCTCTTTTCTCATCAGTTATGTCCGTGTTGAACTTTAGTTTCATCGTTTTCAACGTCTACGACCCTCTTAGCGTTGTGACTCCTTTCCTTCCCAAAAATGCAGGTGTCGACATTGAAATCCACCTCTTTGCTCATAGTCCTGTCTCAGATTCACTCTTGTCGGTGAACGTAATGCCATATAAACGACATGTTGATGGGATCTCACTGTACAGCAAAATCTTTTACTCTTTTTCCACTGCCTCATGACTTTTTCGACTCATCGCTAGTACGATAACGTTTCGCCAGCAGGATTTTAATTACGTTTAGTTGAGACGTATATAGGAATTTAGTATTTGTTTTGAATGAATGCTGATATTGCTGTTTTTCTTCAAGAAATTCGACTATGAGTTGGTCAGTGGACTGCGGCGTCAGGAACGACGATGGGACATGACCGAAAATGAACAGGTGGCGTCGACAGGTCAGTATGGCCATATACTTTTCGAAAATGACCCTTTTTATTGTTTATTCAGAGGGAGCAACGGCCCGAAAGCTAGCAACCGATGCGATGTTTAAACTAGAGCATGGCGAATTGGATCTGGCAAAACTGAAGGCGGTCGAACCACAGGTCGAACGGTTGGAAAAACTGCAGCAGCGCTGGAAAGACGACTTTTCCCGCAACCAGGAGCTACGAAAAATTTTTCGGGTGAGTAGCTGCGGTTCATAATTCTTCTTAACGAAAAAAATGGTTTAACTGTACGCAACGCAATGCTGGCGCTCTCTTGGGTGATTCTACACTGTTGGTCTCACAGGCTTCGACAAAGTAAAGACGGTGAACGATTGGTGCCTCGTTGACTTATTTGCTCAACCGTTTTCTAAGATTCTTTGGTATTCGCCTATTACCTGATAAATCATTGTATTGGAAAGAAAGGAGAAAGGAAAGTTTGAAACCGTTGGAATGTTTTTTTTCGTTACAATTCCATGATGGTACCATTTATGGCTTCCTTCTTTTCATGAATTTAGTGGTGGGACGCTGAGATTCATTCCCATGCCATCAGCTAATATTGCTTTATTTTAAAGACAGAGTCGACAACAGCTATGGGAAAATCGTAGCATATAGTCTCCTATTATTTACTCATTTGTCAACCTCAGAAGGAAGAAAGGTAAGTGACCTGGCCGGGTCTCGAACCCTAGACCCAACGGTTCTGAGTCCGCCGCTCTGTCGACTGAGCAGCGCCACGCTAATGGTTGGTTTGGAACATGGGCGAACTGCTGCTTTAATTGTTTCTCAATGATATGCGATGAAGCTCATCGAATCTGCACAGATTTCGACCCTTTGTCACGAATGATTACGTCACAGAATACCATGGCGTTAATGCTTGATTGGCGCGTCTGTTCGGCATTTTTAAGAAACTGCCTATGACCTGATAAATTATTGTATTGCGCTGTCTGTTAATTAAAGTATTTTATGTTGTCATTTTCCAGCATCAATACTAACGTACCAAATAAAATACTAATTTTCTCTAATATAAAAAGTATATCAATTTTTTAAAGCTTATTGGAACTTGCGCCAGTCGAACTTGAATTCCCAGAGCTGCAGCATTAATGCTCTGTCACAAAATTTATTGCATCATTATCGTACAAATTTGTCGATTGCTTTTTTGATCTCTTCTGCTTTATTGTAATATGCTTAAGGTTATATGTACAGGAAACTGTTGATGTGGTTGTATACCTTACGGACCGAAAACCTCATGCTTGAGATGATTTGGGTGTGGTTCGGTCAAGATGCGCATGTTTAAAGTAAACGTATGAACGCCCTACTTTATAGCCTAAGAAGAACAGTGTTGAATAAGTTGTACTGTAATAAAACGATAAAACTGAAATACACT